GCATTTTCGTTACATATGGTCTTTGTAAGAAAAATTCGAAATAGAAACTTTGTATTCTTGGGATTCTTTCTTTCCACTCAGGATTTCTGTGCAAATTCTTGCATATATATATACTTATGCATTCACACACACACACACACACACACACACACACACACACACATATATATGCGTGTGATTTTTTTTTCTTTCAGAAACACGCTTCTATTCGACTCTTTGGAACCAGTTACCGTTGTTGGAAGAAGGGAGTATAAATAATCGCAGACATCTGAACGGATCTGCGATACGTTGCGACATTTTACGAGGCTGTAAAATATGAAAACACATCTTAATCTCTTTCTCTCCCTTTCTCTCGCCTACCAGGTGCACTTTCCATACAATCTGCCGACACGCATTTGAAGTTTACCTCCTTTTTGTCACCGGCCATCATTGTGGAATACGTTTTTGCTTGCTTTTGAATTCCCGTCTATTCTTTCCAAAACTTAGTTCACGTGGTTTGTATATATTTATCCTTCTTAAATAACAATTGCTCCTGGGGCCAGATAGCATTTTGTTGAGCGTCAGCGTAAGCGCGCCAGTTTATCTCGTAGACGACCGGAGCCATTTAAATCTTCCAGATATTCGGAATGCTGACTTGTACAAATAGTTGCTCTAAATAACTTACTTAGATTTTTGTTATCATTGCAATCATTGTAATAGAAAAAGTTTCAGGCGCCCGACATGCAACAAGTCTGACGAACTCGGTTGGATGAATGGAACAAGGATACGCTTGGAGAATTACGTTTCTGTCCAAGGGAGACAATAAGGAAGAAGTGAAATTACAAGGCTAGTCATGTTTAGCGACGTGCGGACACAGCCTAGAATAAATCGTTGTTGAGATATTTGAAGCAAGCTCCGACGAGTGCAATTTCTCGAGAACTGATAAACATGAATAGAATAGAAATGCAGAAAGAGTAGCATACACAAATAAACACGCGTGTGAAAATAAGCTTTTCACGTATACATAAACTAAAATATATATGCATACAATATAATTTTTCTGTATCTCTGAGCCAAGGTCCATACACTCCAACAGTAAGGTATGGAACAACTTCCTCAACACGATAAGCGTTGATGCTGCTGCTGCTTTCATAGCAAGTACTTTTTTTTTTTCGGGATGGAGTTGCTTGCCTCATGTACAATCGGTTTAGAATTTACACTTGTCATACTTCAAAACTGTTTACCAACCAAATCAGATCATCCCAGTCGGTTCTACTATTGAACCCATAGTTGGGGGTTTAAGAAATGGATTTTACACTACTCCTAAATATATTTGTGCGAAAGCGAACTTAACTCGCCTTCGAACTCTTTCTGCGGATTTCTTTTTCGAAATGCTGTCCCTTTCCCCACCGGAATATCATTTTCCGCCCATTGTTTTCTTCTAATAAAAGTGTTTTAGCGTTTAAATAATAAATACATATCTATAAGAAATACATTTCTATTCGAGATTGATATGTCCCGGAAAAGGATATATTTGAACGAAGTAGCTAAGTGGTTTTGGCTATTATAACCAAGTAGAATACGGTAGAAGTAGTCGATTGCTACGCGTCGTAGTCGCAGGTAAGAAGTGTAGATCAATGGCGTAATCCAATGGGCGTCGTTAAAGACTTAGCTCTCAGACTAAGGCTCTTGACCTACACGTCCGTCGTTATTTACGACGGACATGAGTCAATCATATTCTAGGGAGGGGGGGGAACACAGGTGTACGCATATTCCATTATATCAGATATATTGATATTTTTTTTCCCAAATGAGAATGTTACTTAATATTGTAAGGATAAGAAAGTAGTCTATGCATATTTATTTGCTAAGTGGCCCCTTCTGGAAGAGATGGATTCGGCGCATTCTAATCTTCAGCAAAGTAGCAAGAGATACATTTTTTACTTGATTTATTTAGCTTGGACAGCGAATTGACCCTAATTGAACTCTAACACCCAGCAGGATTTTATTATTGACTGACACATTCTCAACAACTTCATACACAGTTGATGTGTTGATGAATTCGGACAATTCTCACAGACACAGAGAAAAAGTGAAGAATTATGAAGCCATGTCTTAGAGGATAGCAAAAAGTTCTAAATATTAAACGTAAACAAGAGGGAATACACGCTCTTCTGCAAGATTGACATCACAATGTGTGACCTATGTATTGGGGATTACGAAATGAAGCCGCTGCAGGAACTAAACGTAGAAACGACGGAAATACCTCTTTGGAAGATGCACAGAAATCGCGAACGATGCTTTTAGAAAAATAGTAATTCAATGCAAATTTCCTTGAAAGCGAAACAGTGTTGAAATGAGATTTAATATCTAACATACTGTATGGCGGTAAATGATCGGCAATCACTTCGCGGAAGACAAGACTTAAAGCGGTTGAAATGCGATTCTCCCGATGTACGCTGAGAATGGACTGAATTTATCAACAGTGAAGTATTTATTAGAAAAATAGTCAACTAAAATCTTACTTATATTTACAATCATAACGAGAGTGAAATTTCCGGGACATGCAATAAGGAAATAGTAAGTTTACATATAACACAGCCTGGACACATTTAAAACAAAAGAAACTGATA